ACCACCTCATGAAAGAATAGATAGAATTACATCAGAGGGCTGTTCTATAAATGCATAAAGGTAGGTATACACCTGATCACTGTTTATGCAAAGGGTAAGATCTACAGAGGGCTGGGCTGGTGGGGCACACCTGCCACTCTAGGCAAGGACTCCTCCTCAGTGACATAGTCAGAGGCCAGCTTGGACTGCATGAGACCCTGTCTCAAAACAAAAACAAAAACACAACATGTGTTTAGAATTTTAGTTTTGGCTAAGCTTTCATCTATATTCCAGGTGAAGTTGTCAAATGATGGTAACATTTGATTAAATTCAAACAATGTGTTAATATAATACATAGCCATATACTATATAAAAATTACAGTGTTGTAACTAAAATACACTGTGTACACTGTGTTTTTGAAATGGGGGCTGAGCCTATGCTGGCTTAGAACATATTACGCAGCTGAGGCTAAACTGATCCTCCTGCCTCCGTCTGTCAAGTCCCGGGATTAAACACGTGTCAGGGCTGGGGCTGGAGCTATGGCTCAGCATTTAAGAGGACTGAGGTTTGGTTCCCCAGTACCCACTCAGGGTAGCTCACAACAGCCTATCTTTGGCTCCAGAGGCTCCAACATCCTCCTTTGGCCTTTGCACATGCATATACAAGCGCACAAACACACAAATAAAAAATGAAAAACATTACAACACTGGCCTTGTTTTATGACACACTCTCTGGCCTATTCAGGAAGGCTGTGAACACATCTTCCTGCCTCAGCCTCCCCATGGCTGGAATTACAGGTGTGCACTGCCATAAAGAGCTCTGTATGGTATATAAAACCAGATTAGTGACATTACCTGTAGTTAGAAAATGTCTTTGGAGATTACCAGTAAGATACATACATTTCTGGTTTTGGACATTTGAGATGAAGTTCCACACCCATGGTTTAGACTAGCTCAAACTCTGGACAATCTGCCTGTTTCCGAGGATTACAAACACCACACCTGACCGAGAACTTTTAATTGTGAAGAAACCTGTTTCAGAAAAATAAACCACCTTAAAATTTGTATGTCACCGAAGGGTTTGCGGAAGAAATGCCACTTTGTTAGAAGCTGGGCTTGGGGAGCTTCAGCACTAGAACCTCTGCTTGTACTGAGCGAGGGTGCAAGCAGCAGCTAACAGTCTGCTTCAGCTGCAACGTGGCTCAAAAGCTCAACCAGGCACAAGACTTTCCATTTCCCAGAGGAAACTCACCTTGTGGGCCAATAGATCTAACCCCCAGAAATAGAAACATGAAAGGAGGCTTCTAGGCTGTTTTCTAAGCCAAAGGGGGGCAATCAGACTAAAGGGGAGGAATGAACAAAAACTGGTTGATGTGACATGAAATCAGGCCAGATCAAAGGTTTCATAGTAGCTTGTTTGTTTTATTGGGTTTGCAGCTTATACTCAGCATACAAAGACTGACTTCTTTTTAATAAAGTTCAGCACACTTGACAGTTCATGAAATCTATTCCATTTCTACACCTTAAAAAGCAATGTATTTTTAGAAACAAGTCAAATAAACATTTTTCTTGCAAAGTTTTAAAACCTTTTCTCTTTATTCAACATACGCTGTATGTGTGAAATTAATGACTCGGTTATTGAAAGGGTGACATCCTTATGTTAGTGAAGCCCTGGTAAGGACCCTGCACAGCTGGACAACTGGGCTAACCTATTTAGAAAAGACAAAGGAGAAACTGTATAGAAAATAAAAACTTTATTTTTTTCAAGTTTATAAGATAGCTCCCATTACATATAACATTATGGTCAAGGACTCTAGCCACAAATGCCCAGAGTCACATAAATACATCCAACCCAACTGATGCCTTTTCCTGCTAAGAGGCATCTGGAGTCCAGGGGGAGAGTGGGGATCCAAGTAGAAATGGCCCTTACTGGGATGGCTCCACTCAGGGTCCATGGAGGCAGCCAGGGAGCCGTGCTCACTAGAGCCGACTCAGGGTAGAGCGAGGGCAGGTGGCCTGCGGATGAGGCTGGGACACAAGCAGAGTTTTCCCTCTTGTGGTTAAGAAGCTCAGAATTCCAATTTGGCATCGACAAGGAATGTGCCTGGATAGTTGTAGCTTCTTGAGGATGGAGATGAGGTGAGCAGCAAGGACACAAGCTACTTAAGGAGGCCCTCAGCCACAACCTGGGGAGGGGCGAGGGACGTCAGGCTTGCCTTACTCTCAGGACAGCACAGTGCTTTGCCCAGTGCTCCTGTCAATTGTATGACTCCCATTACAAGTATGTCTAGAAGCGCCACATGCTTGCAGCTGAGGCTGTCAATCAGATTCTACTTGGAGCTATGAAAGTTGAGTTTGGGTGGACTGCAAACAAGCTGTGCCAAGTCTCTAGGGACACTAGCTCTGACATCCAACTTGCAGAGGAAACAGAATACCCACCAATCAAAAGCCCAAAGAAATTCTGGAGCAGGTACCCACTCTCCCAGACATCACCAGCTGCCCCAGGGCCCTGGACAGAGTGATGCTAAGGCACAGTCAGTTTTACATTCGAAAGTCAAGCCACCTCATATCCCAGGGTCCTCCAGAGACACTCCTACAACGAGCCCTCACTCTGAGATATGCAGACCAACCCTCCAGAACGTAGGATCCAGCAGAGAAAGGATTCACCAGCTAATTTCTTCAAGGTGCTCCTTTCAGTAAGGACAGCCTCTTCTTGATGAAAGCACCCAGTTTCCTTCAGCTCTAACTTCCAACAGCTTTTCATTTTTACAAGATGTTGACGTGTTTTCTTATATGTATTTAAGTGCTTGGTGCCTGAAGAGGCCAGAAGAGGGCATCAAATCCTCTGGAACTGTAGTTACACATGGTGGCGAGCAGCACTGTGGGTGCTCAAACCTTGGACCTCCGCACAGCGGCCCGTGCTAATAACCACCAGCCTTCTTAATGCTGCCTGTTCATTTTCCTTCCCAAATCTTTGTGAAGGGGAGGGAAAGTCAGCACAAAGGGCAGCAGTTCCTGGAGACATGAATGCACTTTTGCTTCCTGTCTGTCCTAATAGGGTGGCTGCTGCCAGAGTGGAGCTCAGAATACCTCCTTGCCTCTCCAGTCAAGGCAAAAGGAAAGGGACACTGTGTTATACTCTAAAAACAGAGTCTCCCCTGAAGTGTCTGGTGGTACCTGTGTGCAGAGCAGTGTGTGTGTCAACACTTGGCAGTCTTGTAAGCCTGAAGCACAGCACCAATAGGTGGGCTTTTGTCCAGGACAAGAAACTACACTGGCAATGAGGAAAGGACTTGAGACTTGGAAGTAAAACTTATCCTGGAGTTTTCTGTGATGGATCATGAAACAAGGCTGGGCAGGGTTGGGATAGTGGTGCTAAACAAAGCCTAGTAAGGTCTAGCTTAGACTCCAGCTCCTTGCTCCCACTGCTACCTCAAAACAAAGCCAAATGAGTGGCCAAGACCAAACACCAACCTCACCTCCTGCTAAGCCTCTTCTTCAACTACTGGTGTCAGAAGTACTGTCCAAGTTCTGAAGATGGTGTCAGCCTTCTGCTGCCGTCTGGTAGCCTGGCATTAAGAGGAATCCTGCTTCTACACTATAGCATCTCTGGGAACAGTGACTGTAGCTAGGGGTTGGTCAAGAACCTCCTGAGGACCAAGGCTGCACATTTCCTCAATTCTAGAGAAGTATAACCCAATTAAGCAGGCACCCACATTGGTCTTAAAGAGATAGTGCCTTCAAAAAAACAAACAAAACAAAAAACAAACAAAAAACGCCAAACCAAACCAAACAATCCCCCCCAACCCGGCTGGGCTTGAAGACTGGGACTAGGCCCAGTTCCCCCCCAAACTGTCTGACTGGCATGGGACAGGCTAAGAGGTGCTCATACACCTAGCTCAGGATTCTATTTTCAAGCATTTGAGTCAATAAAGTCTTTCTGGCCTGGCTTCCCACTTGAGCATGGAATCTGAGAAGTAGGGTATTGGACAGGAAACTGGATTTTGATTCCAGGTGTCTGCTCTCCACTCCCATGTAAGTGCACTGTGAAGGAAGCAGCTCTCACCTGCTCTTGGACTTCTACTTGAATTGAGCGGGCAGGAGCTGGCCAGAGCTGCACGGAGAGGTGGATGTGAGATGTACAGGGCAGGGAGTGTGAGCCCAGCATCTGATGACTGAGCTGGACACTGCTCTGCAGGAGCACTAGGTGAGATCTTAGCTCAGGAGCCAAGGATGAAACTCCTAAGAAGCCCGAACCTCCCGGGGACAGAGCCTCTGAATTACAAGCTAAAGGCTTAGATTTATTGTCTGTGCCATTTGGTTACAGAGGAAGGAGGGCTGGCAAGGAGACTGAGGCTTACAAGATGGGAGATGCCAAAGTCTAAAATTAGTAAGCGACCAGGGCCCTCTTGACGGCAAGGAGCCTCCCTAGAGAGCAGAGAGCTGGAGGCACTGAAGAGGCGCTGCTGTCACGGAGGTATTTCAGATATTTCCATTATTACTGTCACGGAAACTGTACACACTGCTTTGTTCATAGAAAAGGTAACTACTTCAAAGACCAGACCCTCACCTACAAAAATAACAGACCCATTCACTGGGAGAGAAGCTCTACAGGTAAGGTTACAAAAGGCGTTCTCAAGGGGACATGTTTTCTGTCAGTGTGAACAGGAGCAGCTCCAGTCTGTCCAGGCACCAGGAGTACAACTGTGCCCCAAGCATCGCCTTTTCTTGTCCTTCCTTCTTCAAATGAAACCAAAATTAAAGCACAGGGGTGCTGCAGGACTTCTGCTGCTCTAGCCAGCTGCCGTACAATGGGTGGGGTGCAGCTCACTCTTAGCAAAAACTGCAGTTGTTGGTTCTGATTGTGTTCTCGCCAGCATTCCATGAAGAGAGAGAAAGAGCACAAGAGATGGGGAGGGGGCGCTGAGACAGAGACAGAGACAGAGAGACAGCAGAGAATGGTCTCAGAGGGTGCTGGCCTCTGGCTCCTGTGGGAGGTAAAAGAAGCTCCAAGGAAGGAAGTTCCACATTCCAGTTAGAGGAAGTCAAGCTCTAAAGCCTGGTGCAGGGACACCAGGTCGCCATGGTTTGTGATCCTCCAGAAGGGCATGTTGTGCTGGGAGAGAAGAAGGAAGGCTAGTTAGCTCAACTTCTGGGCCCCAACTTCCACCCCCTCCTCCACAGACATCTCCTGGAGGCTCTTGGTAACCTTCTATCCTAGCCCACCTCACAGGACTGAAGACCACATTTGTAAGAACTCTGTACAATACACTACAGAGACATGAGCAATTTTTATGAGATTTTAATGCTACCTGTGCTTTTATGAGAGAGAGAGCTTTTGAGGTCTTCAGAATCAAATAAAATGGCTCAGATAAGAAACCAGTATTTCTGAATGTGGTGGTGAATGCCTGTGATGCCAGCACTTGGGAGGCTGAGGCAGGAGGATTACAACAAGTTTGAGGCCAGTCTGAGCACCAGGAGATCCTGTTACAACTGACAGGCTGGGAAGGAAGCTAGTACTAAGGTAATTTTCACTGCCTTGCAGGCGGTTAGTTTCCCATCAGCCTTAACTCTAACAGGCTCAAATACTACCCACGTCCCAAAATCAGTACAAACACATTTTATGTCCTCAAAGTTGTGCCAAGAATGAGCTGTGCTACTTGGGAAGGGGCGCAAGTGCTGCAGTCTATGTTCTGTGGAGTAGCCCTGACTGTTCAAACTGGGTGTGTATTACTCGGAATGCTGAGGTCTCGACACTTGTGGTTTACATCTGGGTTTCCCTGTGCTGCTCAAGAGTACTGTGTAGAGTTGTTAAGTCACAGCAGAGGAGAGGGCGGCAGTGCTAGGTCAGGGCATGAAGGGGAAAAAGAATGCTGACTGGGAGGACCCTGTGTGCAGGTTGCGCAGAATCAGGCCCCTCATCCCTGGGGCACATTCATCTAAAGACTAGTTTTCTTTCATAAAGGCCATCAGAAAGATTCCTGACAGAAAGCAGGTTGGGCTGCATAAAGCACTCAGACAATTTGGGGGTGGTGGGGGGTGCTGTTATGTTTTGAGACAGGGTTTCTCTGTCTGGACAGCCCTGGCTATCCTAACACTGGCTCTGTAGACAAGGCTGGCCTTGAACTCACAGAAAGCAACTGGCACTCAGACATTTTTGATTTAAATTAGTTTTATTTAGGTTTGAACCCCTAATGTTTAGACTTAGAGCCTGGTGCTTTATACCAGCTGAACAACCCGACGCTTTCTGGTCTACATTCAGACATTTTTATTGAGGATATTTTGTTTCTCTGTGTAGTCCTGGCTATCCTGAACTCATTTCATTTTTACCTTCAGTGCTGAGGGCTGTCTGTAGGGACTCATACACTCCATGGGCCTCTGGAGGGTATACTTCCTAGCAGATTCTAGCCATCAGGATAGGGGTGAACTCTGCTAAATCTCAAGCTCTTCTTTCTCTTCCTCATTCCTTCTCCAGAATGAAAGTACTGATGGTCTCCCCAAGGACAGACCAAGCAGTACTGGAGAATCAAAACTTCTAGAACTGCTCTATCAAGTAGCAAATGAAAACCATGAAATAATGACGCTGGCTGATTTTCAACCATGTATTTCACTAGCAGTTTCTGTGGTTTCTAGGAACTAGGTGAAGAAAATCAGGGTAGTCATGGCTGGTAAACCATAGCTCTAAATCTAAAAATAAATAACGGCAAAGGAGGCTGCCCATGGAGCAGCTGAGCAGGCACAAAAGATGGTAAAGAAACCGTCTTTATTCACAGCTAATAGTGCATGTCACCTTACTTTAAAGAGATGGGGCCTTTTAATGTAGACGAAGCTGATCCAAACTCCTGGCTCGAGCCATCTCTACTCTCACCCAAGTAGTCAGGACTGTGGGTGCATACAACCACACTTGGCTTAACGGACCTGATTTTAAGTTCAATAGCCCAAATTTATCCACTGTTTGCTGTAAGAAGGAAGGATAACCCAGGGCTGGGCCTGCATAGTGATAGGGGAACTATGTGAACCAACTTTCAGGGCTTTCAAAAGTAACAAAGATTTTTCTCCATAACACAATTCCCGATTGCGTGTACTGTTTTCTTCTCCCTGAACAAACCACACCTAGGCTCAGCCTTCCTACTGCCTCCAGAGTGTAGGGATTACAGATGTGCACCACTGTACCTGACTCTACTGCTTCATGCACAATCACATAACTGAATTTTTTTCCTTTCCACAGTTACCTGCTTGGCTGCAATTTCTTCATCTCGTCCATCACCAATCACTACATATGTGACTTTTTTCCCAAACCTCGACACAATTCTCTCAAAGCAGCTCTCCTTGCCTACAGAGAAAAACACATTTCCTATTAGGACAGTCTTCCCTCCCTTTTCTAACATCAACGACAAGGACTGCTGCTCTGTTCATCTGCCTGGGCTTGGACAGGACGACTGGCACCTGTGCAGACTACTCAGGTGTCAGGAGCAGAGCCTGAGGTTCAATAGCCCCTCTGCCCAGAGACTGTGAAAGTGCGCCATTACCAAAACAACTCACGTTAATCTTCACATCAAGGGTAAGGTGCCCAAAATCTTAGCATGAAGGAGTATCTAAAAACAGAAGATAATAAGCCTTGACTGAAAAAGCTATGTGCAAACTCTTGTGTGTTGCATACTTTATGGGTCACATTTAACTCTCATTCCTCACTTTATAGACAATGGGCCATCACAGGTTTAGTGACCTACATCAGGTCACAAACAAGCCAGCAGGTAGATTTGGCTTGCGTCTTGACTCTAAATCCAGGCTGCGGCTGTCATCTACAGCAAATGTTCTCTCTCTTTTTAAAGCTCCATAACACTTTAAAAAAATTATTTAATTTTATTTTATATGCATTAGTGTGAAGGTGTCAGATCCCTTGGAATTGGGGTTACTGACAGTTGTGAGCTGCCATGTGAGTGCTGGGTATTGAACCCAGGTCCTTTGAAAGAGCAGACAGTGCTCAACTATTGAGCCATCTCTCCAGTCCCCCATGACACTTTTTTATTAATTAAACTTGTTCTTGAAGAATTTCATGTGTATATAATAATGTGTTCTGATTACTCTCAGCCCTGCCTATCATCTCCCTTCCACTCCTGTGGTCCCCCCAAAGTCCTTTTCCCAGTTTCATGGTTTTTGTTTTGTGTCCCATGGTCTTGACCTGGGCCATATATGTGACCAAGAGCTTTGAGCGACCCACTGGCACCTAGTGGGCTCACTGTTGTATACCCAACGCCTGTATATTTGTTTGCAACAGAGATGCTGAATTTAGTGACTTTGGGAAACAAGTTATTATTACTGTTGTTATTATTTTTTGTGGTACCTGGGACCAAATCCAGGGCCATGCTCTCGCCGGGGGAGCACTCTGCCACTGAACTATAATCCAGCCTAAAATGAGTGACTTCAATTCACTGTAGACAGTTTTTTGTTTGTTTTTGTCTTTTTTCCGAGACAGGGTTTCTCTGTGTAGCTCTGACTGTCCTAAACTCACTCTGTAGACCAGGCTGGCCTTGAACTCAGAGATCCACCTGCCTCTGCCTCCCGACTGCTGGGATTAAAGGGGTGCGCCACCACCTGGATCACTGCAGACAGTTCTGAGAATCATTGTGTGGTATCAAAATTCAAACCTAACCTGGAGTCAACACCTAAAACATAAGCAAAGTCTAATGCTATGGGGAAGATATTTTACAGAATATATAAAAGATAGGAAATTATAGCCCTTGCTTTTTGGGGGAGATGTTGTGGGACAACAACAGGGTTTTGCCATGCTGCCCAGGGCTTCCTTAGATGGGAATACTTCTGCCTTAGCCACCCACATTCTAGAAACATAGGTGTGTGCCACGACCCAGCCTTGCTCTTCTATTACCCACTCACAAGTTACTTTGTTCAGTTAAGCAAGGTTCAACTTTCCTTCCTTCATCCAGCTCCATTAACCTCACTTTTAATTTCTGCCAGATCCAGTGACCCAAGACCCTTCCTCAAGACACTTGACTGCCAGCTGCAGGAAAGTGACTACAATACAAAGGCCGGGACAGTGAGATGGCACAGTGGGTAGAGATGCTTGCTGCCAAGCCTGGTGACCCTAGTTCGATCCTCAGTACCCCATGTTAGAAAGAGGGAGCAGAGTGACATACACAATTGTGCACTGGCTGTGCGCCTGCTGTAGATCAGGGTTAACTTTAAATTCTGAACTAGGAGTGATATGGATAGGGCCATGAGTAAAGGAGGAAATGAAGTCTGAGGGCATAGCTTACTTGGTGCTGTCTGGCATGCATGAAACCCCAGGTTCAATTCTCAGCACTTAGAAACCAAGACAGAGCATGCTTGTAGTCACAGCACTTGTGAAGTAGAGGCAGGAGGATCAGACTCCTTGGATACCTAGGCTACTGAGTGAGCTCACTGGCAGCATGAAACTCTGTCAAGGAGGAGTACGGGGGAAAATGGTAACCCTGAAAATCTTTTGCAATTATTGTGCACTTGTAGTATCTACCTTCCCTCCTCACTTTTCTCTAACAGAAAAGATGGGCACTGAGTTGAAGGTATTTAAGAGTGTGTGGAGAAGGAGAGGGGGCATTTGGCTTTTCCTTGTGGGACATGAGTAAGAAGGAGCAGCACTTTAAGCTGGGCATGGTGGCATATGCTTTAATCTTAGCTCTTAGGAGGCTATCAGAACTAATGGGTCATCCTTGGCTACACAGAACATTTGAAGGCAGCCTGGGCTACATCAGATCCTGTCTCAAAAAAAAGTATACAAAAAGGAAAACCAAAATTATGAAATCACTTTAGAGAAACTGGGAAAAAAAAACAACCCTCCTCTTCTCACTCCCATTTCACAGTTCTGTCAAGGAAAGCCTTGGGCATCTTCCTATAGTTACCAAGGCACCAGATCACTGCAACTTCCAACATTAGCTCTGGACTGAGGAAAATCACCAAATAAGCTCCCTTAATGTCAGAGAAAATAAAACCATTGATGAGTCTATGGGCAATGATCACTACAGAAAATACGGCTCTTGGGTATGGGAGGCTCCCAGGAAAGGTTCCCTGCATGGGAAAGCAGAAGCAGAGGAGGCATACATGTGAAGGAAGCCTCTGTTTCCTCAACACTCAAAAGCCCTTGTCGATGGAGCATTTACCTTGGGGAGGGGGGTAGTAGTGTAGTGGAAGGAATGCTGAATAAACTCAAATGACTGCAGAACTCCTACTACTAACTCAGTGCTTTCTCAAGTCTTTTTTTTTTTAGGGGGGTCCATGGGTGGCGTTTTGAGACAGGGTTTCTCTGTGTAGCTGTGGCTGTTCTGGAGCTCTGTAGACCAGGCTGGCCTTAAACTCCTGAGTGCTGGGATTAATGTTGCCAACACTGCCCAGCCCTTTTCTCAATTCTTAACACTTCATGAGTGCTTTAAATCTTCATTTTATTTTTATCTTATTTAAAATCTTTACCACATGCATACTTGCTGCCCTCAGAGGTCAGCAAGTAGAGAAGTTATGGGTGGTTGTGACCCACCATGTGGGTGCTGGGAACTAAATTCAGGTCCCCTGCAAGAACAACAAATGCTCTTAACTACTGAGCTGTCTCTCCAGCTAAAATATTTTTTAAATTAATTTATTTATTTTGTGTGTGTGTATATACATATATGTGCTATGGAGATCACAGGATAACCTGTAGAGTTCATTCTCTCCTTCTACCATGTGTGTCCTGGGAATTAAGACCAGGCCATCATACTTGGTGAAAGTTTCCCCAAAGGTGGGCACAGTGCATGCCTATAATCCCCAGCACTAAGGAAGGTAGAGGCAGGTGAGTCACTGTGAGTTCATAGGCCAGCCTGGTCTAGTTCCAGGACAGCCAGGGGTAACACAGAGAAACCCTGTCTTGAAAACAACAACAACAACAACAACAACAAAGACATTTTCCCCAAGAGGCTGGTGGGAAAGTAGCACCATACCGATTTTGGTAGCACTGTAGATGTTTTCAATAGGAAATATTTCTCCTAGTCCATACAGGAGAACCTTGGCCAGGGCCGGAACCAGCTGGGTGGTCGTGATCAGAACATTCACACAATTCTTTCTAGAAAAACAGTAAGAAGAAAAATGAACTTGTAAACTGAAGCAATGCAGGAGCACAAATTGAAATAGGTCAGCTCTTTAGGCTCTAACTTTTTTTTTTTTTTTTTAAAGATTTATTTATTTATTATGTATACAGTGTTCTGCCTGCTTGTTATGCCTGCTGGCCAGAAAAAGGCACCAGATCTCATTATAGATGGTTTTGAGCCACCATGTGGTTGCTGGGAATTGAACTCAGGACTTCTGGAAGAACAGCCAATGGTCTTAACTTCTGCACCATCTTTCCAGCCCTTAAAAGAAAATCTCAAAGACCTGGATGCTACTAGTCAATGCCAATATTAATTCTTTTTTTCTTTTCATTTTTAAAGATAGGGTTTCTCCATGTAGCTCTGACTGTCCTGGAACTCAATATATAAACCAGGATGGTCTTCAACTTAGAGATATTCCCACCTCTGCCTCCTGTGTTCTGGGATTACAGGCATGCTCCACCATTTCCAGCTCATTTATTACTCTTATTCAGATTCCTTTTCTATAGTAAAGGGCAGAGGGGCCAGTGAGATTGCTTATGTGCACGTGTAGGTGCGGGGAACTGAGCCTGGATGCTCTGCATGAGCAGTGAGTGCTCTCAACTCCTGAGCCATCCCCGTGCCCTGCAACCTGTTAGCTGCTACCGCAGTCTTATTAAGAATGCCACATTTTAGAAAACAAGTACACAGTGAGGAGCTTGCATTTGTTGTTCTAAATAATGGCAATGCCAGTCAGGTTCTTTCTGTTCTTCACACAACAGCCATTCAGGTTACAGAAGACACAATAATTCCCTGGGGCCTAAAGGAGTTAATTTAGGATTATTATTATTATTAATACATTATATTATAGTTATATTACACTATTACTGTTACTGGATGGCTATCCTCAGGGAGAGTTTTGTTTCCCAAGTTAGAGACATGAGGGAGAGAGGGAACAATATGGTATTGGTACATGCTATAGCTGCATTTATTTTTCAGTCTGTGGGTCAAGGCAAAACAACCCTTGATAATCTTAATTAAAAAAAAAAAAAAAAGGAAGGAGGGAGGGGCTTAGGGGGATAAAAAATGAATAAAGTGTAATTAATAAAAGTTAAATAAAAAATTAAAAAAAAAGATTTACTTACTTATTTGCTTGTTTTATGTAAATAAATACTTAATCTGCATGTACACCTGCATGCCAGAAAAGGGTATCAGATCCCAGTAGAGATGGTTGTGAGCCACCATCTTGTAAGCTGGGAATTGAACTCAAGACTTCTGGAAGAACAGACAGTGCTCTTAACCACTGAGCCATCTCTCCAGCCCCATCTTAATTTTTTTAAAAATTACATTTGTTTACTGTGCATGTCGGACTCAGCAGCATTGCTGGCCCCTGATAATGAACTGCTGCCATTCATTGTTTCTCCTCTTTTTGAGACAGTCTCATGAAACCCAGACTGCCCTGAAACTCACTATATAGCTCAAGGTGGCCTTGAACTAACTCTTGATCCTCCTGGCGCCATCTCTCAGAACCTGAGGCTGCAGGTGTGCACCACTATGCCTGGCTCTAGACCCCTTTTCATTTAACTTCTGTTATCTTTTTGTTTGTTTGTTTTTGAGACAGTGCTTCTCTGTGTAGCTGTGGCTGGCCTCAAACTCACAGAGACCCACCTGCCTCTACTTCCACTGCCATGGCTCATGTTAACCTTTTTTTTTTCTTTCTTTTTTTCTCTGTTTCGAGACAGGGTTTCTCTGTGTAGCCCTGGCTGTCCTGGAACTCACTCTGTAGACCAGGCTGGCCTTGAACTCAAGAGATCCTCATGCCTCAACCTCTAGAGTGCTGGGATTAAAGGTGTGAGCTACCACTGCCTGGCTTATTTGAACTTTCCAATCTCCATTCTTAAAGCCCCATTTTGGGGGATGGCCTAGTTTGGACTAGGGACAGAAAACAGCGTGAGAAGATGGGGTGTAAAAGAAACATGTCCATACCGAGACTGGATGAGAAGCAAGGACTTTAACGCAGTTCCTAACCAGGAATCCGTGAGAACTTCGATCTCTGCTCTTAGTCTCTGCAGAGCTTCCTTCCTCTGGGGGCTCAGGAGGCCTTTCAGATAAAGCAGACACACTTGTTATCGCAACATCATAAACTTACTAAGATGGTTAATTTGTCATCAGCTTCATCTCTGGTCATGAATGTGAGGGACCATCAAAATTAGGTCACAGAGGTGGGAAGAGGAGACAGCAGGCTGAGCCCAAGGATTCTTCCATCTTTGTTTTCCCCATGTGATCAGTGTCCCCTGCTCCTGCCACTGTGACTTCTGCAGTAGTGGACTGTGTCCTTGAACTGTGAACCAAAAACCCTTTCTTCTTTAAGCAGCTTTTGTCAGGTGCTGTGCTGGATACAAGTAACCAATTCACTTGCTATATGAAGAAGTAACTTCTATGAGTACCTGAGTTTATCCATTCCCATGTTTTAGAAAACTTTGAGAATGGCGCTACTCAAACCCAACTCTTAACCAAAATGTTTGCTTTCCCATGGGCACACCATAACAAGGTCAGCTGACAGAAACATGGGAAGTAGGTTCTGGTATAAGGTCCTTCTGTATTAACAGTGGGCATTATCTACAGCCTGAGCGACCACACCTGAATAGCACTGCTTTACAACACAACACTAGGAAACAAGCAAGGACAAATGACTGTTACAACAGTTCTTAGCTCGAAAAACAAAGACCAAAGGCCAGTGGGAATAGCCAGGGTCAAGATTCTTCCCCAGCTAGCACTGCCCTGTGACTGCCCTGTGCTTCCATCTGCACAGGAGCAGGCCAGCGGGGATCCCAGGGTGAAGGACCAGGCCCCCGCACTTGAGTCACTTCTGCAGCAACTCCAGGCAACAGCAGGCTAACACGCTGATCTCCAAGAATAGATAGATTCTGCATAAAAACATAACAGGTTTCAAGTGGGAGCCACTGTAACAATATTCAAAAAGCAAACGTGACTCAGAATTTTCTGTACCAAAGGTTAAATAAAAAGCCCTGTGTTCTTCTCATATCATAAAAACAGATAGGAAGGTTTTGTTTGTTTGTTTTGAGGCAGTCTTAGCCTGGAACTCACTCTGTAGACGAGGCTAGCCTTGAACTCTGAGATCCACCTGCCTCCACCTTCCTAGTGCTGGCATTAAAGGTGTGCACCACATACCTGGCTGATATCACTTTTTATATATCAGAGTAAGCTGGAACTAGATCTAATTAGTAGGCAGGAAGGATCTGAGACTTAAGCTTGGGAGAGGGGAAGAATTCAGAAAAGAAATTAGATTCCTGAGATCTGGAAGCTAATACAAGATTTTCATCTGGTATTAAAGGGTTGTCACAGGAATGACTCAAATAAACTTCAAAGCCCTGTCTCTGCTTTCAGTCACACACATGTGGGTGACATGACTCTTGACACGGAAGAACACTCTCCTGTGCAGTCTATAGCGTGCAGAATGTTTTTGGAAGACGATGGCTCATAGTTTTAAATATTTTCTTATAAGAGCACATCACTAATAAAGGAACTGTAAGATTGGAAAGTGGGGCTGGAGAGATGGCTCAGAGGTTAAAAGCACTGGCTGTTCTTCCAAAGATCCTGAGTTCAATTCCCAGCAACCACATGGTGGCTCACAACCATCTATAATAGGATCTGGTGCCTTCTTCTGGCCTGCAGGCACACTTGTAGGCAGGATATTGTATAAATAATAAACAAATAAATCTTTAAAAAAAGAAAAAAAGATTGGAAAGTGCCCTGACCTAAAATGAGGGAACGTGGCCAGCCTATTTATTTGCTATGTGACTGTATATGCTGTGCTTGACCCATGATGGATGTTAAGTTCTCAAATGCCAAAGAGGTGTTTAAAATAGATTTCTATTGTCTCCTTCATTTTGAACAATCCATGACTAATTAGTTCTGAGTAACAGAATTTTAGGCACACTAACATGAATAATATTTTTGGGCAAATAAAATTTCTTGGACACAGTCACTATAATGCTGGGCCTATTTCCCAACCAGTGTAGTGACTAGGTCTATCTGACTTGCTATGATGGGTTAAATGTCTGCTCTTCAAAGTACAGCAGTCTACTAACAGTACTAACAGTGGTTGTGACTTAAGAAGAATGAAAACACTACACCAAATACAATGTAGTGAGGTGGGCACTGTGGGGCATATCTAGAATCCTAGTGCTTGGGGGCAAGTTCAAGGACGGTCTCAGCAACCAACCAAATAACAGATCTAAACCATACCCCAAAAGCTAATGTGATAAGGCTTGTCCTCAGCTGAAGGTAGGAAGTCCTGTGCTTTAATGTGGTATTAGGAACCAAGCTACCTTCTCATCCTCCTCCCTCTTTTTCCCTCCTTCTCTCTTTCCCTGCTGCAATGAGGTGACTAGCCTCTCCCTGCCATGATATTCTGGTTTGCCTTAAGCTCAAGATAACAGGGCTAAATGAGCACACGACAAAATAACCCTTTCCTCCAGGTAAACTGATCCTTTCAGGCTTTTATCACAGCAGTGGAAGCTGACTAATAGAGCAGTTTCTTTAAAAAGGTGTTTGTCTAAAGGAAATAGCATAATTGTCCAAAGTTAAAATAAGAAGAATCAGGAAGCCGGGCAGTGGTGGCGCCTTTAATCCCGCAGGTTAAGGCAGGTGGATCTGAGTAAGTTTGAGGCCAGACTAGTCTACAGTTAGTTCCAGAACAGCCAAAGATACACACAGAAAAATCTCGTCTCTAAAATTAAAACAAAACTCACATTAAGAACAACAACAAAACAAACAAACAAACAAACAAAAACAGAAAAAGGAGAATTAGGAATGTAGAGCTTCTACTGAAAGCCCCATTCTAATGGCCACCAATGGTGCAGAGCCAACTGTCATCTACCATTCTTTTTTTTTTTTTTAATTTTAAATGTTTTTATGTGTATGTTTTGTTTGCATGTATGTATGTGTATAATATGCATGCCTTTTGCCCACAGAGGTCAGAAGAGGGCATCAGATACATTGGAACTGGAATTACAGATGGTTGAGAGCTACTATGTGGGTGCTGGGAAGTTAACCTGTCCTCTGGAAGAGAAGCCAGCACTCTTAACTGCTGAGCCATTTTTCAGCCCTTTATGCCCCATTCTTACCGCCACCAATGGTGCCCAGCCTCTCCTAACGTCTCTCATTCTGACGGCCACCAATGGTGTGGATTCTCCAAAGAGTTTCAGTTAGATCTCTATGTTTTTGTTTACAAACAGAATTAATGTGGCATAAATTCCTAAAAAGTTGCAAGGAACTCTGGGAAAGGAATGCAGGAAACTGTTAAGAAACAGGTTCAGAATGGATGTCCACTTACCACCCACATTGCTTTTATGCTTATCGTAGATTTCTCTCACTTTCCGGTATCGGAAGGCCAGTTTCCTCATCCAGTCCACGCCTCCCTGAACGCCCACAGATGAACCATGGCTACCACTGCCTCCTGAACCACTGAAACCATCTGTTGAGAAACTATAGTTGCTGCAAAGAGAGGGGATAATGAAAATTAAAAAGCATACCCAGAGGGCTTTAGGTTAAACGTTACCTGAGCTCCTGTGGCCTGTTCTTGGCATCTAATAAACAAAGGTAATGCTTTAACAATCTTCTCACTAGAACACATTTGCTGCTGCTTGTTTTTTGGAGAAAAAGCTTCCTAAGGCCCAGGCTGGCTTAACCTCACTATGTGGCCGAGGCTACACTTAAACTTCCTTCTGATCCTCCTGTGTCCACCTCCCAAGTGTTGGAACAACAGGTGTGCACCTCCAGTATGTCCAGCTTCTCCCTCCCTTCCCAGAATGAAATGTCAGTGGCCACAGAGAGGAAGAGGGGAAGTAACATAAGCACCAGCACCCCATATAGGCTGACTTGGGATAGAGCATTGTTTTCATTAATGACAAAATACTACATAGTAAAAAAAGCATTGATGACAGAATACTATACAGGGAAAAAAAGCAGAATATACAACTATTATAACTGTGTAAATATGATTAAAGCTATATAAAAAAGGAGACAGAGAGCTGGCCATGGTGGCTCACATCAGTAATTCCAGCATTTGGGAGACTGAATCTAGAGCACCATAAGTGTAAGGTCACATGGGCTACGTAACAACTTCCAGGGCAGCTTGGCTAGACTTTTTTCAAAAATCAAGCATGTCAAAATAAGGTTCAATACATTAAGTGTAAGAGTCTATACTAAATATAACTGCCAAGAAGCCAGGTGGTGGCACTTGGAAGGCAGAGGCAGCTAGATCTCTGAGTTTGAGGCCAGCCTGATATACAGAGCAAGTTCCAGGACTGAGGACTGAGTTCCAGGATGTTTCACAGAGAATCCTTGTCTAGGGAAAAGCAAAACAAAAACCCAAACAACCAAATAAATAAATTAGCTGCCAAGACATAAAACAGGAAATCCGGTCAGTCACATACATAAAAGAAAACAAACAAATATATAAGCCAACAGGCTACTTTCTTCCTAAGGAACAAACAGTCTTGGCCATGTAAGGTACAACACACACCAGTGGTTGCTGCTCTGCAAGGGTTTCCTTCTCAGTTCTACATGGACAGGTGTCCTATGCACTTAGGAAACTACACATGCTTTTCGTTCTAGCACATGGGATGCAGAGGTAAGCTGAGCTGAGTTTGAGGCCAGCCTATTTACATAGTGAGTTCCAGGCCAACCAGGGCTACACAGCAAAACCCTGTCTCAAAAACAAAAAATGGGGGCTGGAGAGATGCCTCAGCAGTTAAAAGCACTAGCTGCTCTTTCAGAGGACCTGGGTGGGATTCCCAGCACCTACATGGCAGGTTACAACAGCTTGTAAGTCCAGTTCCGGGGAGATCGGGTGCCCTCTTCTGGCCTCTGTGGGCACCAGACATGCATGTGATGCATGCAGGCAAAATGATATTCACACACATAAAATAAAATTTAAAAACATATATTACCCTAGTGCAATGGCACACACCTGTAATACCAGCACTTGGGGAGGCAGAAGCAGGAGGATCTCTGTGAGGTCCAGGCTAGCCTAGTCTATAGAGCAAGTCCAGGATAGCCAAGGCTACACAGAGAAACCCTGTCATGACAACCCCCCACCCATCATACCTGACACCATCATACCTCCACAGTTCACTGAGCAAAATTCCTGATGCTTATGTGCAACTAGAACTACCCAGTGAGAAGCATGCTTTCTCTGAGAGGAAATCTATATAAAGAAAGAGCCGTACAACAGTGCAGCCATCACTCTTGAGATTTGGCTTCATCATCTAGTACGGCTACCTGGTAATTCCTGAGACCTTGGTCAAATGCTACGCCACTGAGGCCTCCCTAATGGTGCCACCTGCTCCTTTTACAGATCAGTGTCACTTCACGTCCTCTGCTTCCTATCACCTCTCTGCCTTATCACACTATGTCTCGGTTAACTAGACTGGTTTCTGACTCCTCTAGCAACAGTGGGCATTTTAATCTTCCACTTCCTCTGAATGCAACGGCTTTGCACATACTAGGTGTGCTGATGTTCAGATAATCACTATGTTTACCACACCTCAGATCCTGGCCATTGTCATCAGAAGCCACATCTTCCACATGCACCTGGTCACACTCCTGTTAAAAGACAAAACACATTATTTCACTCCAGGGAACAAAGGTGCAGCCACTTACCATGACATGCTATACGACAAGAGCATGTACGACAAGCAGGAGGTGAAACACCTCATAGTCTCTCTGTCACATAGACACCTCCACTGTCCAAGGGAAACCAGCTGCTTGAAACCTTCCTTAACAGTTTTAGCAATCACAACAGTTCATTTCCACAACTGCTCTCACACTGTCCCGTGCCTCTATGTCCCGTATTAGAGTGTAAATTCTACTACAAGATAGGATGCAGGACTCGGGTATTATATCTCCCTTGCATAATTTAAGGTTTTGTTTATTATTATTTTTTTCCTTCCTGAGACAGGGTTTCTCTGTGTAATCCTGGTTGTCCTGGAACTCATTCTATAGACAGGCTGGCCTTAAACTCACAGAGATTTGCTTGCCTCTGTCTTCCAAGTTCTGGGATTAAAAGTGTGCACAGCATGGTTTGTATATAAATTATTTTTGTAGATGAAACAGATACTGGAAAAGTATGATATCAAAACTGGGAATAGGGGGCTGGAGAGATGGCTCAGCAGTTAAGAGTACCGTCTGTTCTTCCAAATCCTGAGTTCAATTCCCAGAAACCACATGGTGTCTTACAACCATCTATAATGGGATCTGATGCCCTATTCTGGCATGTAAGGAATACATGCAGATAGAGCTTATATATAAATTTAATTTAATACAAACAAACAAACAAACAAACAAACAAAAAACAGGTCAGAATAACTGGAACAGAAATGCATACCTAAAATATAAGCATAATCACAGGTTATCTAAGTCAATGCTTAGATCTAGAACTTGTGTTCTAAAGAGAGATGAAATGATTTTCTCAGGATCATACAACTGGAGAGTAGTAGAAAGAGAAGGTCAAATGCACCAACTGCCTAACTGCCTTCTGTCTTCCCTGATAGAATCTTCTGGGGAAGGCTTTTAAAAATGCATATTCTTGGGTTCATAACACACCTACTTGAACTGCTAGAATTGAAGACCTAGAATCTCCAATTTTTAAATTATTATTTATTTTTAAATTATTATTATTTTGTTTTGTTTTTCAAGATAGGTTTTCTATGTGTAGCCTTGATTATCCTGGACTCACTTTGTAGACCTGGCTGACCTCCAACACACAGAGATCCACCTGCCTCTGCCTCCCCGAGTGCTGGGATTATATGCCACCTTGCCCCAGCTTAGAATCTCCAATTTTAAGACATTCCCCATGGATTTCTTACGACCCCTAAAGTTGAGAACTACTGACCTGGGAATCAGGAACACATTTAGGTCAAATTCTTTTAGAACTTTCCGGCCTGAGTGCGGGCTATGTCTAGAAAATCATTACAAATACACTTTGGGAATAATAATTGGCATATAGTAGGTTTTAAACTAATATTTGCTAATTAAAAACTATGCTGTCTCATTTTGCCAACAAATATAGTTGAAGGAAGATTAGAACACTGTGGAGCTGAGGAGAAGCAACTGGATAGAGCCACAGTGAGGTGACTTGCTGGAGAGCTGTCTGTGTTTAAGGAGAACTGGGCATATATTGTGTTTAGAAATGTTTTTACTTTACTTCCAAATTGCTGCTGTTAGAAATGACGTAACATATGTAACACACGGTGCAGAGTGTAGAGTCATGAAGTGGAAATACTCACTCCCTTTCCTCCTCTGTCCTGTTTCCCAGTAATCCATTGCTCTGGCCAGAACAACTATTACTAGTTTTTTGAACAAGGCACAGGCTCAAGCCCAGGATGGGAACATGACTCTCAGCCTGAGATTCCCACTCTGAATTTCTCACAGCCCCAATCCTATGATCTATTATGCCACGTTCACTTCAAAGGAAAACTCAAAAGGCAAAGCCAAGAGTTTTTCACTGTATATTCTCAGTGTGTTCTATTTTCCTGACACCTAATCCCCGAATAGCTGAATACATGAAACTTCACTTATACGGATAATTCACATGTAGAAATATAATCAGAGCCAGGTGTGATAGCGTATGCCTACAATGACAGCACTTGGGTGGCAGAGGTAGATGGACTTTAACTTTAATGCCATCCTGAGTTATACAGACTGAAGCCTTGTCTAAAAAAACTTCCAGACCTCCAAATAAAAAACAAACAAAACACCAAGCCCAAAACAAAACAAAAAATACTTAAAAGTTTCTACAAGAAAATACAGAAGAATATATTTCCCATTTGAGGATAGGTAAATAAACTTTAAACAAGAGCCAGAAACTTTTTAATATAAAGAAAAAAATGTAATAGTAAATTATACTTTATTAAAACTAAAATTATGGATTTCTAAAAGGCATGAAAAAGTCAAATCATATTTAAAACACATTTATAGTGCATGTGTGATACAGGGCTTTTTTTTATTTTTTTAAACCCAAGTCATAACGTTACTTTGACAAATTATACAGAAAAGAAAATAATAGCCAATCAAAGTAGACAAAAACTATCCAATAGCAGTAAGAGTAATCATCTATCAATTAGAGACCTAAAAGGTAAATTATTTTAAAAAAAGGCAGGATTAAAGAGTAAGCAAGGTATCACCAAGAAGCTGAGCATATGGACTGGAGAGACAGCTCAGGTCAAGCGTGCTGGCTGCTCTTCCAGAGGAGCTGATTTATTTCCTAGCATCCATCGAGCAGTTTTAACTAAAGTCTCAAGGGGATCTGATGTCCCTTTCTGGCTTTATAAAAAAGAAAAACTTAAAAACAAAGAAACAAACAAAAAACAATACAGCAACAGCAGCAGCAGCAGCAGCAGCAGAACACAATGGCACATGCCTTTGATCCCAGAACTCAGGAAGCAGAGGTAAGCGGATTTCTCTGAGTTCAGGACCAGCCTGGTCTACAGAGTCTCAGGCCAGCTAGAGCTATACTAAGACTGCCTCAAACAAAACAAATCGAACAATTATGTTATTTTATGTAACATATTGGATTACTGACTTTTATTTTAGTGTTCCAGTACTTTACTTCCAAATAAGTTGACTAAAACAAAAACCAACTTTTGCTTTATTTTTTAGACAGGTCCTGAACCCACGATCTTCCTACCTCAGCCTCCTAACTGCTAGGATTACAGGTGTGTGTCCCCAGCCCTGGCTGGGAGGGGCCACATACTTTCCTTCCTAGTGCCACTTTTTCTCTTAACTCCTATGCTTAAAATCTATGTTTTAAACATCTTTTAAACTCTTTCAACACACTCTAACTTGGGCTATCTCAGCTGGTAGAGTGGTTGCCTACATGCAGAAAGCCCTCTGTTCACTCCCCAGCACTGCATAAACCCTGGCATGGTTGCACATCTGGAATTCAACCACCCTGGAAGTACAGGCAAGAAATCAAGTTCAAAGTCATCTTCAGCTACACAGTGAATCTGGGCTACAAGGGAACCTGTTTCAAAACAAAATGAAACAAAACATCATACTACAAACTACAACTCCTGCTAGCTGATGATTCAACTGTGACATCTTCCTCCTGGAAATAGATTCCTGCAGTGATCCTGTTAACAGATTCTTTCCATTCGTCTTATCCAATCTCCTACCTTCTAAATACAAGTGCAGGCACTAACAGTTATAGAACAAAACACTCATGGAAGCAGAAAACCTATTTAAACCACTTACCTCCAAGTCATTGAAAAACAGATGTGTATCAGCCACTTCAAAAATCATTTCTTCCATTGTTAAACCTGAGCCAATTACTACTGTTGGGTCCTGGAATAAAAACAGAAGTGAGAATAGCACTGGTTCTAACTTTCAGATATTTCAAAACTACTCTGGGCCTAGTCCAACACAAGTCCATAACAGTACTTCAAATCTTACTGAGCCAATATCACTCACATTTATAAGAACCTGGGATTACAAAATATAGGGGCTATAGGGCATTAATAAAAATGTCAAAGTCAGGTGGTGATGGTGCACACCTTTAATCCAAGTTCTCAGGAGGTAGAGGCAAGGGGGCAGGTCTGAGTTTTAGGCTAACCTGGTCTACGTAGGAAATTCCCGGACAGCCAAGGATACAGAGAGAAACTGTGTCTCACCAAAACAAAACAAAATCCTGCTACTGTAATATGCATGATCCCTTTTTTGCTCATGTGACACAGGGAATACCAGACACCTAACTATCTAACCAACCAGGAAGTAAAGAAGAACAGAGTCAAAGGATGTGCAGGGTAACCAATGCAGGCTGCTTTAAAATGAAGCGTCAGTCTTCACGCAGAGCCTAAGTATTTTTCTAATGGTCTTAGGGATATAGTTTTGGAGCCTCTGTCAGCTGTGGAAAAGTACTCACAGGAGAGATTCCTGGTACTCCAAGATAACTGGGAGTAGCAAGACAGCAAAGTTATTTTTATAATTTGTAATTTATTTCTAGAAATAAATGATCCTGGAGATGATCTGTGGTGAAGCAGTTTTGCACACTGGAGGCCGAGGCAGGACAACTGAGTTCAAGAACAGCTGAGGCTACACAGTGAGACCCTGTCTCAAAACAAAGAAATACACAGAACTAATAACAACTCATTCTTCTACTAAAAGTAATGCTTACACTGAAGACTAAATACATTTAATTTTGTCTGGTACAACTAACTTTTTAAGAAGCACATCTCTTTTAGATCTAGGAGATGTGGCTCACACCTGTAATCCCAACATTTGGGAGGCTTTAGAGGCAGGAGGATAACTGACACTTAGAAGCCAGCTTGTGCTATACAATGAGATCTTGTCTCAAAATACAACATAACAGAAGTCACGTGATGATCTATTTTAGAAATCTTAGCTCTAGCTCATTTGAGGCTAAATGAAATTCTTAGAGATATTTTAGTGATTTAAGGCTTAATAGTCAGTCCTTAGAATATATAATCCTGAGATTTCATTCAATTTTGAGTCTTATTTTTATATTTTCATGCTCATAAAACACATTAAAAAGTAGTTATTTATTTGGGGATTGTATGTGTGGTGTGCACATGGTCAGGGGACAGCTTGCGGGGAGCTGGCTCACGCTTCCACCGTGGGTGCGGAAGACGGCGCTCAGGTCGTCAGGCCTGGCAGAGCACTTTTACCTGGTAGGCCACTTCATCAGCCGGAAACGCTCCCTCACACAGCTTCAGAGTCAGCACCGCTCCTAGACCGGGCGCCTAGCTTTACCATCAATGCTACCCAGCTATGTAGCCTGCCTGGCACAAGCCATCTGTCAAGTTTTATACATGGGGCGCTCCGAGCCAGCAGGGAAGGAGGAGGGGTATAGCCCAGTGGAGCAGCACTTACCTAGCACTAGTGAGGCCCTGGGTTTGATTGCTAATACTGTTTTTTGTCTTGAATTTTTATGTGGATGGTGTTTTGCCTGCACGTGCATCTTTGCATCACATGGACACAATGTCTGGAACTGGTGTTATAGATGGTTATAAGCTGCCATGTGGGTGCTGGGAACCAAACCAAAGTCCTTCATAAGAGCAGTAAGAGCTCTTAAATCACTGAGCCATCTCTCAAGCCCCAATCCTAAGAGTATCATATATATATGTATACACGTATGTGTGTGTGTGTGTGTGTGTGTGTGTGTGTGTATATATATATATAGTATGTGTACACTCACACACATATATATGCATATATACACACATACACACACTCAATAGGGCAAGACAAGCAGCAGAGAAAATGGATTTTCTACCTCAGCAGTTGGGAGAATTACATCAGCTGCTCAACTCTGTCAAAGGAAGGACATTATAACAGAAGACTCAAATTACCTTTCCATACTTCTGAGCATAGGATCCAGTAAGAAGGGAATGAAATATGATGATGGTTTCATCCAAGTCCCAGAGAAATACCCGCTGAGGGGGGAAGACAAAAAATGAGTTATCTTATCTGTCAGTCACAGTGAAATAAACCAAAAAAAAAAAAAAAAAAAAAAGGAAAACTGAAAAATCCACAAATACATGAGAGTATAATAACACAATTTTAGACAATCAATGGTCCACAAAAGAAATCATAAATAAAATTAGAAAACCCATTGAGATGAATGAAATAACAAAAAACAAAACAAAACAAAAACAACATATTAAAACTTATGAGACAGTGACAGCAATGATGAAAGGGAATTTTAACCGTAAATACACATTAAAGGAAGGAAGCAGGTGGCATGAGAAGCTTGACTTTAATTCCACCAGTTGGGAAACAGAGGCAGGAGAATCTCTGCGAGTTTGAAGCCATCTAAGTTTACAGAGAGAACTTCAGGCCAGCCTGGGCTATCCAGCAAGACAAGAGAAAAAAGAGAAAGGAAAAAGAGAGCAAGCAAGCAGATGGCATGGGTGTATGCTTTCACTCCCCAAACTAGGGAAACAGACAGAAACTATTAACTGCTACCCTAGGCTACACAGCAAGAGCCTATAACAAGAGAAGAAGGCAAAGGAAGCAGCAAGCCTCAGGGCAGATCTTTACAGGACTGTGGCTCTGGGTTCAATCCCTAGTCCAAGAAGAAGAAAAAAATCTCAAATAATAGCCATACTATATATCCAAGGACATTAGACATGAAAGGCAAACTAAAGCTAATGCTGGGGAAAGGAAGAAGTCAATAAAGGATAAAAGAGAAAGAACCTAAGAGACAGAACAGAATAAAGACAGTGAAAGCAACAGTGGGTTCTCTGAAAATATCAGCAGACCTGACGTTTACCAAGACAGATGAAGGAAAGTCAGAGATTCAAATTACTAAAACCATAAATGCAAGTGGGGACAACAGTATGGACTTCCTAGACATCAGTGGACCCTATGAATCATCAACAGATGCATGCCAAAAAACTGGATAACCAGGTGAAATAGTCTACTTCCCAAGAAACACACAACACAACCTAAATTGACTCAAGAAAAAGAAAAAAGCCTGCCACTAGTAAGGAGCTTGGAGCCAGCCATTTAAAATGACACTAAAGGAAAAGCCTGAGATCCAGCGGTCTCACTGGTGAATTATAGTGGACATTCAAGTAAAGTAAGAATCAACATCACTTCCTAAATTTTTCCAAAAACACACTGAGAAGGAAGGAACACTTTCTATTTCAACAGTGAAGCCAGCATCTAAGACTAGACAAGACTAGAGCAGTGTGGAAAATGACAGCCCTCATGAAAAACAGTGTACAGATCTCAACCAAATAGTAGCAAGTGATCTTCCCCAACATATAAAAACAACTATATATTGTGATTGAGTGGGATCACTTCTTGGAATGTAAGGACAGTTCTCTGAATACATAAAATTAATCACTGGAACATAATGAGAGAGGAAAACCAAGCCGGGTGCAGTGGTGCACGCCTGTAATCCAGCACTCTGGGAGGGAGAGGCAGGCAGATCTCTGAGTTCAAGGCCAGCCTGGTTTACAAAGTGAGTCCAGGACAGCCAGGGCTATACAGAGAAACCCTATCTCAAAAAAAAAAAAAAAAAAAAAAAAAAAAAAACAGAAAGTTAAACTTGAGTTCAAACAGTGTTTTTATAAAAACTCAATTTAATAACTACCAATTTAAAATAAACAAGTTAAAAAAAGAAAAAAAATACCCTGTTCAAAAATTCATAGGGAATCTGAAGAGATCTCTAAATAACCAAAACCACCTCGAGAAAGGACAGAGTTGAGGAGTTATGCCATTTAATTTACAACTCAAGGCCACAGAAAGATACTCAATATGATTAGACATTAGGAAATATAAGTAAGAACTACAGTGAGGTATCACTTCATACCCAACAGGGCAGCGTTTATTTTAAAAGGGAGGGACCAGACATATGTTTGTACGTTAAGCTCCTGTAGCCAGAGCTATGTAGAGAGCCTTTGTCTCACCACCACCACCTAAAATACAATTTAAAAAGGGGAGGAGAGAAATAAGCATTGATGAGAATGTGGTCAATAATGGCGATGTAAAAGTGTGGAAGTCTGGTGGCTCCTCAAAAAGCTGAACACAAAATAAGATCCAGCAATTCCACTCTCTGTATAAAGAAGTGGAGAAGTATAATACAAAGTATTCAAAGCCTCATTATTCACAATGGCCTAGAAGTGAAAGTGTCCTTCAACAGACACAAGATAAGCCAGATGCAGTATGCACACACATACAGTGTGGAGTATCTATCATACAGCCATTAAAATAAATGAAATTATGATCCATGCTGCAACGCAGATAAATCTCAAGAGCAGTACACTTAGTGAACTGAGCTTGACAAATAGTTTGACACAGATAGTGGCTGGAGAGATGAGATGGCTCAGCAGTTAAGAGCACTCCCTGTTCTTCCTGGGTTCAATGCCTGGCAACCACATGGTGGCTCACAACCAACCATTTATAATGTGATCTGATATCCCCTTCTGGCCTACAGGTATACGTGAAGATAGTGCTCTCATATACATAAAATAAATAAATCTTAAAAAAAAAAAAAAAAAAAAAGAGTACAAATACTGTATGTTCACATTCAGCTATAGCTACACCAGGCAAATCCACAGTAGCAGAAAGCAGAATAGTAGTTGCCATGGGCTATAAAAGAGTATGAAGAGTTACTGTTTAATAGGTACAGAGTATGTTTAGGATCAAGAAAAGGTTCTGAATACATGGCTGTCATCTCAGCACTTTGGAGTATGAGGCAGGGTTGCCCAGGAGTTCAAGGCAAGGCTGAGACTGTCTCAAAACAAACAAACAAACAAACAACCCACAAGTGTAGCTACTGTATTTAATAACACTGAACTATGCTCTTAAAATGGTAAAATTGGGGGCCTGGAGAGAGGGTGGTTAAGAGCACTCACTGCTATTCCAGAGGTCCTGAGTTCAATTCCCAGCACCCAAATAGTAGCTCACAACCTGTAATGGGATCTGATGCCCCCTTCTGGTGTGTGTGAGAGGACAGAGCACTCAGATATGTATGTATGTATGCATATATATATATATATATGGTGAGGTTGGGGCTAGAGACATGGCTTAGCAGTTAGAGCACTGGCTGCTCATCTAGAGGTTTGATTCCCAGCACCCATGTGTAGCTCACACGAGCCTGTAACTCTAGTCACAAGGAATCAGACAGTCTCTTCTAGTCTCTGCGGGCATGAGGCATCATGTGATATATAGACATACATGCAGGCAAACTACCTACACATATTTTTAAAAATCATCCATACTCATAAAAATTTTCAAATCTTAAAAAAAAAAAAAAAAAAAACACAGTAAAGTCTTTAAAAAAGTGTTTTAGGTGGAGTCTCAGGTAACTCATGTATCTAAAGATGACCTTCAACTCCTGCTCTTCCTGCCTTCTGAAGTCATGGGATTACAGGTATGTACTATGTCCAGCAAAAAAATGCTAAAGGTTAGGTAATACACACTGTGGTACAATTGTTAAAAGTAAAGAGTTGTTAATCTTCCTAAGACTGACACTAGAACTTTAGTTTCCTTATTTCTTGTTGTATTTGCTCCCCAGAAGAGAAGAGGAAGACAGACTCTCTGTGCAGCTTCAATTTACCTGTGTCTAAGAGCATATAAATATATTTCTTTGCTTTACTGAATAACATCAAAGAAAAATGAAAACTACAAAATAAAGGTAATGCAATAATTCTGACTTTAGAATTCTGTATGTTTTTTTCACGAATTTGCGTGTCATCCTTACGCAGGGGCCATGCTAATCTTCTCTGTATCGTTCCAATTTTAGTATATGTGCTGCCGAAGCGAGCACTAGAATTCTGTATGTTTTTTTTATTCTTTCCAACCATAACTGAAATCTATGTCCACAGTAAATTTCCCTGGTTTTCAAAGCACACCATGGTTTGCTGGCATGCTCAGTAAGCAGTCACCAGATCCCACTTTCAGTTTCTTAAGGGAAACAGTATGACATCATTCACAGCTCCTCTGGCTTTCTCCTAAAATGCAATGTAATTTTTTTTTCTCTGAATGTAAAAAACAATTTGTTCTGTTAAAGTTATCTTGAATCAGAAAAGGTGAAAACAACTGGAAGGGTTTATATATAGGTTAATACACACACACGCGCGCGCTAAGTCATGGGTATGAATGGATTTTCTTTTACCTACATTTTTTTTTTCTCTTGGCCCTGAGAATTCAAGCAGACACAACACACAACATTATTTTTGCAAATTGCAGACGTATGCCTGACAGAAGTGAGGAAGACAGAATAGGTTACGTCAAGTGAGTTTCTTCACATACTTCTAATTCGCTGTCCTGGGAAGAGCCGGCATCGGCTTTCCTCTTGCCGCGGTTCTTGACAGTCATGTTTTTCCGGGACTGATCATCAGCATCTTTATTTGGTGTATTCTGGGACAAAGACGGGCTTGTGGATGAGTCTGCTGAAAGGAGAAGTAAGATACACAGGCTGTAAGGACCGCAGCAGGGAGTGGGGCTGACAGGAGGAATAATAAAAAGACAGGGTCCTTATTTTAACAATAAAGGAAACTGGGAAAAGAAAGAAGCCCCTTACACCACAATGGCCAGGAGCCTGAAGTAACCAGAACTGTCTACAGAGACAACATCTGCCTACAGAGATAGTATCTGCCCACAGAGATGAAATCTGCCTATAGAGACAACTCTGCCTGAGAGAGACAATACTTGCTTACAGAGAGTATCTGCCTTCCTAAAGACACCCTAAAAGGACAGACTGAACAACAAATTATGCCTTCTTATAGTCAGAATGTTTGTGACCTCCATTTGAATTACACCAGGACCACCTCTCTCACACCTCATGAAAAGCACCTCACAATTTCATTTATGAAGAAAATGTTCCTGACTGAGAGGTAGCTCAGTGGATAAGAGCACTTGCTGCTTTTGAAGAGACTTTGGTTTAGTTGATTCAAAGCCATCTGTAACTCCAGTTCTAGAGGTCCCAACGCACTCTTCTGAACTTTGAGGGCAGCAGACAAGCAGTGGTATACATACATACATGTACACAAAATACACAGATATAAATAAATCTTAAAAAAATTCAGAGGATAAAGCTTTAAAAAAAAAGCTTTACAGTTTTTTAAACTGTTATTATTGTTATTTTATATGCATAAAGTGTTTTGCTTACATGTATGTCTGTGTACCACATGCATGCAGTGTCCCAGGAGGTTTGAAGAGGACATCAGATCCTTGGAATTACTAGATCCAAACAATTGTTAACTTCCATGTGGACACCTGGACTTGAACCCAGGTCCTCTAGAAGAGCAGCCAGCGCTCTTAACTGTGGAGTCATCTCTCTAGTCTAAAATGGAAGAACTAATCTCTAAACTTTTTTTTTTTTTTAAATGTAGCCCAGACTGGCTTAGAACTCACAGGTATCCACCTCCCTCAGCTTCCCAAGTGTCAAGGGTGTTCACCATGTCATCCAGCCTTTTTACTTACTATTTAAACTGTATTTAATACTTAAGTTTAAGCGGTTTAGTCTTTAAACTTTGTTGTAAATCACACTGTTTTGAGCAATGTAACTTAGACACATAATCGTGCCTGCAGCCGCTGTAAAGCCACCTAAGTGCAGTTCCCTGAGAAACTGCCGTGGCAGAGGGCTGTGCAACCTTTCCCACGTGCTCTAGCCCCCACTTACTCCTGTGAAGCATGTGCTCGCATTGATCTTAAATAACCCACTAACTTTGCTTCACTCTGGCTCACCCTGAAATTCTGTGGTGTAATCAAGGACTAGGCTTTCTACAAGTAAGAAGTCCTTAGTGAAAAGGGACTCCTTGGGCTGCTGGTGGCACTGCAGGCAGGGCCACACCTCCCAGTGCCACTCACAGGCAGTCTCAGGCTTGAGAGTCAAATGTTAGGACTGTTGGGAAAAGAACTGTAGTTGTTCTTGGAACATTAAAGAAGTTTAAAACAGAAAGAGTACCTGCTCCGAGTTCCTAGCGGGAGGTTAAGACATGCCTGGGTTAAACCTGGAAGCTGGCAACCTTCAAGCTGGCCCTTCATCTGAAGAGCCCTGCTGAGTGCAGCACACTCACAAGGAGGGCAGAGTGTGCACTAGAAGCACATCTTCCCACTGTTGGCACTCTTCTGTTCCCAGCATCTACACACATTCTAACAAGCAGTTTCTCACCACAGTCTGTTTGTGCAGTTTACACTTGAAAGGGAAGCCAAGAGCATGGTAAAACTAGCTTATCCCAGAACAAAATCATCTTAGCATCGCATAGAAACACCTGTTGCACCAGTACTCACCAGAGGGAAGCCGTTGTGGGGCTGGCGCAGGTACTACAGCACTAGGCTTCTCTGTCTGGTACGTGGTAGCCGCTAATGTGGTATTCTCAGCATCACTGTTAGTTTGGCCTGCAACTCCAAAGCTGGAACTAGGGTAGCAGGCCTGGTACTGATTCTGTCCAAGAATAGTATAGGTAGGATAATCCTGTGGGCCAAAGGAAAGAAAACAAGACTATTACCTATTAGTCATAATGATTTTCCTAAAATATTGTCTTCTTATTTTTTCACCTACCTAGCAGTCCCAAGAAATCAATGATTTTCAAAACGCAGAGACATGAGTATAGATGTATCATCTAAGTGAACAATGTTGATTAAACACTCTTCAGAAGTCATAATGTGAAAAACTAAAGACACTGTCCTTAGAAGATGAAAAACAAGAGCTGTAAAAGGAGAGAGCCCATGGGAATGCACTAGAAACACTAGGCCTCTGTGCTGGCACATGGACTCAACTCAGGAGACAGGCAGGAGGATGAATAAAAGTTTGAGGCCAGCCTGGACTATGGCACATCCCAGGGCAGCCAGGGGTACATAGTGAGGCCCTCACCCCAAAAATCAATTTACCCGATCAAAACTAAACAGCCCCCCTCAACCCCAAGGTACTTGTGGATGTAAGAAAGAACAAACACCACAACGGAGGAACAGTCAGACCCAGAAAGTCAATGAGTAGGTTAACTGTAGCCAAAAAACCCACAGTCTGTGAAGATAGCAGTGGTCATGGCAGTTGCTGCAGAGAAAGTCTGAGCATGTTCAAAACAAAACAAACCCTACAACACAACACTGAAGATGTTACAGTGATCATTTAAGCACACACGTAACTGATCAAAACCAAATCACAGCCAGGCATGGTGGTGGAGAGGCAGGTGGATCTGAGTTCACAGCCAGCCTGGTCTACACAGTGAGTTCCAGGACAGCCAGGGCTATATGGGGAAACCCTTGAAAAGCAAAATACCAAAACCAACCAACCAACCAAACTATAATCAAGGAATAAGGGGATGGGTGGAGGTATTTACTTATTCCACATTAGTTGTGAGTGCCTTTTAAGTGAGTGCCAGTAATTTGTGTAGGTTCTGGGAATATAAAAGTGAACACAAACAGAAAAATGAATCACTGCTCTTGGAGTGCACATTCTAGTGGAGGTTGGATGAGGCTTAGGTAGAGTAAACACAGTAGGTAATGCTGCAGATAGAACCATATTCCTGGGAGGGTTAGTAAGGAACAAGAGAAACGTGATAGCGGCCAGAGAGTTCTGAGGGCATCTGGCAACAGGACTCAACAGTCTCCACTATTGCTGGTTGTTCCTTACATGGGCAAGTTAGTGAAAGTCAGATGAATCTTACAAAGGAGGATGAACAAATGGGACACAGTACCTGATTTGAGACGCTGGCCACAGCTGCTGCTGGAATATTGGCAATTGCGGATGAAGTGGATATCAGGCTGGCATTTGTGCTTGAAGCTACAGGATTGAGAGAATTAGGAAATATTAACAAGCCCATGTAAACGCCTTAAAGATATGGGAAACAACTTGTTTTAATCGAACATATGTACAGGAGACAAAGAACACTGGCTAAAGAAGAAAATGCTGGAAGCTGGAGAGACAGTTCAGTGGTTACGAGTACTGGCCGCTCTTCCAGAAGACCTGGGTTCAAGCTCTAACACTCATATGATGGCTCGCAATCATGCAACTCCTGGCCTCCTCCTGTCTCTGCGGCGCCAGGCATACATATGGTGCACAGACATAAAACACGGCACACATACAATTCAGGAACAATAAAAAAGAAGCAATCATTTGTTTTGCTTTTGCATGCCATACCTTGATTAGAAACAAAACAATGGAATACTTGCTTCAACCTGAGTCCTCAGCTCTAGTAGGAAAGTCCTAGAAGAATGCATGCCCAATTCACAGCTCATACTGACACAGCAGTAAAGTCAGAGCTCAGCCAAATCATCACAATCTTTTCTAAAAGCTGAAGAGTGATCCCCCTGCAAGTGACCTGACAGTCAGTAAAGCTCTGGGAATCCTGTTGTGGCACTGTTTATGGCCAGTCATCCCAAACGAGGTCTCTCCCGAGGGACATGTTCATTTTGAGAAATAGAGCTAGCTCTCCAAATTCTAACTGCTATCTTCAAATAATGGCTTATTAATGTAGATCAAACAGCACCGCGAGGACTGGAGAGATGGTTTAGCAGGTAAAGGTGCTGCTAAGCCTCATGACCTGAGTTAGATTCCTAGGACCCACATGGGAGAAGAGCTCTGATTCCCACAAGTGACCCTCTGACCTTCCCATGTGCACCAGGGCATTCACACACACACGGGCACACACAAACACAACAAAAAAAAGTTAAATCCAATAAACTTGCAAAGACTCTGAAGATATTAAGTCTCATCTGCTCAGGTAAAAGTGCATTCTATCAGGTAAGTTATTTGGTATGTCTTTAAGTTTTACATCTTTTTGTAATAGAATCCATCAGGTTCTGAGCCCACACTTCAGTGACAAGCAGATAGCACAGGGCTTTGCCCAAGTCGTCAGCGTTACCGGGCACCAGTTCTGAACTCTCCTCTGTCTCATGTCACAAGCACAGAGACATGGTTCTTACTGCAGTCAACCACACACAAAGTGTTCACCTCCAGGAGGACCGACCACTCTGACCAGCAACGAAGTCCCCCGGGAGAAAGCCAGCAGGAAACCTCCATAAGAACAGAACATGAGAAAATGAAGTAGGAAGAACTCAGGCTGGACCAGACCAGGCCCCTGACCTTCTGCAGGGAACTGTGTGTGCTGAAAGCCCCTCTAGACAAGATCAGTCACTGCTCCTGCCACAAGCCGAGCCTGCTCAAGCGCTTGGGTCAGAGGAGAGTTCAGACAGTGTGTGCAGTCGGGTTGATAATCCCAGTGGGTGAGATCAGCTGATCTCCCACCTCCTCACCTGGTGCTCTTTCCTCAGTCACTGGCTGAAGTAGTCACTGGTCTCCTGACAACCTACAGTACTCTGCCCCACAGCCATGACAGGGCTCTTAAGGGCTTCCTTTCCTAGATGAAATGCATTTAATAACTTATAGGAGGTATTTGCTTCCCATCAATAGTCAGTTTCTTCTCTGCTATAACTTAATCCATTCATTTTCCTAAGAGGAAGCGTCAATTAGTACACAGGATAGATAACTCCTAAGCAATTTTAATCACTTTATGGGAAAAGACTTTCTGGTAGTTACTAGATTCTGTAAGCAATATATTATCCTGGCAGGTCTGAAACAGACTAGACTGAATAAAAGTAACTTTAAATGGTAGAGAAGATAGCTTACTAGCATTCTCAGTAGTCACTTCCAGACCAACTTCCCTTTCCTCTGGGCATGGCTCAGACTTCTCTTTTCTCCTCCTGCCCAGCATTCTCTTATTTACTAACACCTGGAGATGGCTGGACTCAAATTATACCCGGTCACTATCCACACTGGAAAAATATATTCTGGTAAGCAGCTTAGAAAGGTAATCATCAGCCAAGCATGGTACACTGAGGTGGAGGAAGGAGGATCAGTTCAAGGTCAGCCTCACATTCACAGTGAATTAAAGGCCAGTGTGGGCTATATGAGATCCAGGCCCCTCAAACCAACGAAAAACAATTATATAAAAGAAATATCATAATCTTCAGTCTAAAAAATGACTGGAATATTTCAGATTCCTATAACTATCATTGAACCCAAGTTAATTTATCTAAAAATGTAGATAATCACTATATGCTTTACCCTATATACATGTGCTCTGTATATATAGCACAATCACTATATGCTATACCCTATATAAGAAGTTAGGAATAAAAAAGTCCTAATCATCATACACACATGTATTTGATGGTCTCAATAAAGAATATTAAACGGCAGATGTGATAAAAACAACAGTGAAATACAAAACAACAAGTACAAACTTAGAGAGTCAAATAAAACTTAAATAATATCCCCTATTTTTATGTACGGAAAGGCTGTCAGATCTCTACCAATGGCTGATTTTTACATGGTCCTTATTCCTGTTTTGACAACGTTGTTGATAAGTTATTGAAAGACAATCATATCTAAGAATCATATTCTATTAGGTCAGCTTAATATAACCAGTGTATCAGAGCTTCGATGAAAAAAAATTATAGTTAGAATTAGGTGATACTGTCTTAAGGGTTAATGGCACATAAAAACTTGAGCAAGGCCAGTGAGATGTACAAATTTGGCAACCTCAATTTGATCTCTGGAACCCACAATGGAAGGAGAAGCAACTCCTGAAAGCTGTCCCTGTGCCCAACCCCACCCCCAATTATAGAAAAGTTTACTCAAGGCCAGGCACAATAGTTCACCCCGTAGTTCAGTATACATCCCAGCATGCTGGAAGTAGACGCAGTAGGATTTTGCAAATTCAATGTCAACCTAAACTATACAGAAAAACCCTACCTCAAAAGGGATTTGGTTTTCACCCACTTTTCTAAATTTAAGCATGTCACTCTCCTGTGTTGGCTCACAATAGCTTTATGTACGTTACTGAAAACAAGAGAAATTCTTTAAGGTGCTCCCTACCAGAACTGCCCCTCCTGGTCCTCTCCCGGCCAGACTAACGACTCCTCAACATGTCAGTTTTCCTTACAGAAGCTCGCTCAGACCACTCTCTTAAAATGAGTCCTTTCCTGTTTTCTCAGACCCACAGCATTTTTTGTTTGTTTTGTTTTGAAGAAAGGGTTTCCCCGTGTAGCCCTGGCTGTCCTAGCCTCGAACTCACAGGGATCCACCTGCCTCTGCCTTCTGAATGCAACACAACAGCTCCTTCCCTGTTTTCTCAATCATGGTAATGTGCCTTTTCTTCCTTCAGAGCACTTACAGAAATCTTATTCACTTACTATTTGTGTTTTCTAGACTAATCATATAGACTGTGAGCACCAAGAAGACGTATTCTGCTATCTTATTATTGCCAGAAACTAGCAAAGCACCCAATATATAAGAGGCTCAACCGGGCATGGTGGCACACTTCTTTGATTCCAGCACCTAGGAGGTTGATCTCTCAGTTCGAGGCCATCCCAGTCTACACAGTGAGACAGCCAGGGCTATACAGAGAAACAACATCTTGGGGAAAAAAAGAAAACAAAAAGATGAGGCTTAATAACTATTTGTAAGAGTCAACCTGCACATACTAGGTATGAGAGACAAAATCTTTTTGTCTATTAGAGGATGACAGTCCAGTTATACTCTCTTTTATTCTTTTGGCTTTTCAAGACAGGTTTTCTCTGTGTAGCCTTGCCTGTCCTGATCTTGTTTTGTAGACCAGGCTGGCCTCAAACTCATAGCAATCTGCCTGCCTCTGCCTCTCAGAGTGCTGGGCTCAATTACATACTCTTGAGAGAGTTACATACTCTCAGCATGTAACCAAAATATCTAAGCCAAAAGTTTTAGCCTTTGGGTCTCAGCAGAAACGGCATATTTGTTTAAAACTGAATGCCTATGTGGATCATTCATTTGTCAAACACTGTCTACTATATGCAAGCACTATTCCATGGGCTCAGACTATATCAATGTACTTAAAAAACAAAAACAAAAACAAAAACAAAAAAACAAAAAAACAACCCAGGAGAAAAAACTGCACTGAAGAAGCTTGGTAATAAAATCTTATCTCCTCAACAAGGAATGCTGAGATGGGTAAAGGCACCTGACTTTAACCCTGGAACCCACATGGTACAAAGAGAGACCTGACATCCAAAGCTGTCCCCCAACCTCCACATGCATGCTGAGGCATGTTCTCATACATACTTTCATGCACAAACATGTACAACACATGATGGAGTGGAGATTTACATCTGCAATAGCTAGTCTGAACTGAACTGTGTGATAATGGATGGGAACTAGAAAAATCAGTGAGAACCCATGCTGAACTTTAAAATATTTACATATGTACTTACACAGGTTAGAACACAGACATATATTTAATGCTCTGTTAACACAGCATCTAAAGGAAATGAGACCTGACACCCTAGCTGCAATGTGTCCACATCTTGGTCTCTAAACATGTTTTATTAGTTTAGTAGCACTACATGTGTGATGGTTTGAATAAGAATGGACCTCACAGGATCATTTGTGTGTGCTGGTGTAAGTACAGAAGTAAGAGGACAACTATGGGAGGGAGCTGGTACTTCCTCTCCACTGGGATGAATTCAGGTCATACCGCTTCCATGACAGACAAGTGATTTTACCACTGAGCCATTCTGTTAGCTCCATTTCTTTTCTTTTTTTAATGTGTTTTCATACATTTATTTTCCTTTTCAAAGTTATATTCAGAATAGATACAGGCGAGAGAGTGGGGCTGGCGGAGAGGAGGGAGGGGCCTATGACCGAGATATAAATTGAATTAATTATAAAAGCTGTTTATTTGTGTGTGTGTGTGTGTTTTCTCATATGGAGGTCAGAGGACAACTCAGTTCTCGACTTCCACCATGTGTGTCCTGAGGAATGTATCAAGCACTTTTACCTATTGATCACTGTAATAACCCCATGTCTTGGTTTCTAATACCATTCTTTTCATAAAGAAAAACTAAGCTTGGGGCTCATGAGATGGCTCAGAGGTTAAGACACTGGTTGTTCTTCCAAAGGTCCTGAGTTCAATTCCCAGCAACCACATGGTGGCTCATAACCATCTATAGTGAGATCTGGTGCCCTCTTCTGGCCTGCAGGCATACATGTAGGCAGAATAAATAAGAAATAAATCTTAAAGGAAAAAAAAAAAAGAGAAGAAAAACTAAGGTTCTCTGGAGAAATGGCTCATCAGGACTTAGGCAGATAATATACAAGATGTGCTTAGAGCGTCTCAGTGTCAGATGACAGATTCTAAAAAAAAAAGAAACAGCGAAAACAAAAACAGGTCAGTAGTTGGTAATATAAAAAGGTGTCAACCAGGCAGTGGTGGTACATGTCTTAATCCCAGCACTTGGGAGGCAGAGGTAGCAGATCTCGGAGTTCGAGGCCAGCCTGGTCAACAGAGTGAATTTCAGGACAGCCATGGCACAACAGAGAAACCCTGTTTTGAAAAACCAGAAAGGAAAAAAAAGTAAAAAGGTATCAGAGTCAACTAAATATGTTTTCTATGACCAAATGAGATAACAGATAAAGCTGTTCTGCATTATAAAATAAATGAATATGAGTCCAGGCACCAATGATCAGTAAATAGTAAGTGACAAGAGAAAAGTGAATGGCTATCAAGGAGGGGGGAAATTTTAAGCATGGATGTAACTTCTAGGCCAGGTGGGATGGCTCACACCTCTAATCCTAGCACTGGGGAAGTCAGGAGACAAGATCAGCCAGGGCTATACAGCAAGACCCAGTCTTAAAGATACACCACACACACACACACACACACACACACACACACACACACACACACACAC